AGTGACTGCGGCACTAAATGCATTTAGTTTACCACAGACCTCCTCCTTCAGCTGTATTAGAAGTGAAGACTGGAAACCCAAGCCCAGATCTCAATAATGAGCTAAATTCACACCTTTTTCTAGATTCAGTTTGGATCAATAAACATATTTGTGGTCTCTGAGTATAATACTTACTGTACTCTTGTGAGTTCCTAACTGTTCCACTTCGCATGAATAAAAAGTTATAACTTCTGGGATTTGGGGCGCCTGGGTGGCTCAGTGGGTTAAGCCTCTGCCTTCGGCTCAGGTCATGATCTCAGGGTCCTGGGATGGAGCCCCGTATCAGGCTCTCTGCTCAGCAGGGAGCCTGCTTCCTCTCTCTCTCTGCCTGCCTCTCTGCCTGCTTGTGATCTCTGTCTGTCAAATAAATAAATCAAATCTTTAAAAAAAAAAAAAAGATTAAAAAAAAAAACAAAAAACCTTCTGGGTTTTACGTAAGATATTTTGGAATGTCCAGTAACCTCCTCTTACTAATTACACTCAACTGTGAAAGGTCCACACATACCTTCAGCTTATCAACCTGAAAGGTTCTACAAATAATGGTTAAAAAGAGAGAGGGACAATCAGTGATTCCTTTGTTGCAAGTCAGCAGGCACTCCGGCCCTGGGCCACAGGAGGGCAGGCGGTGGGGGCTTCCAGCAGGAGTCTGACTGCACACCGTCCCTGAAGTGAAGGACACTGTTCCTGGCCCAGCACCTGAGGATGGCACGCTGACCCCCATGCCAACTGCTGTGGCCAACAGGAGTGTCCTCCCCCCTCCGTGTCAGGCTCCCCCGCAGGGGGGATAGTCCTGTCTGGGAAGGCACAGTGGGGCGGGCTAAAACAGCAGAGGCTCCGTGCTCTAACGTGAACGTGGGACGCAGCCCGCAGAAGAGAAACAGAACACGCATTCTAACCTCAGCTGTTGACCTGCTGAAAACCCTGCACACAGGCACGAGAATCTTGTGAGGCTCAAATGCTCTTCCAGAGCCGCCTTCCTCCTTCTCTCTCCTGGCTAGCACATTCTGGAAAGAACTGCCTCTCCACGCTGCCTCCCTTCTTGCTCCACAGGCCAAGGTAGTCAGCCTTCAAACGTAAACTCTGGTCTCCCAGCTCCGCCTCAACTCCTCCTGTCAAGGTCAAGGTCACCAAGAACTTGTATTCTGAAAATCCAGGGGCAACGCTGTACTCAGTTTCTACACCGCGCACCAGCAATTTGGCAGAGTCAGCGGTGCCGTTCCTAACGGAGGACGCCCTCCGCAAGGCTCCTGTGATGCTTCAGCCTTCCGTGCTGCTGCCTGCTTTGGGATTTTGCCGTGTTTCTCAAGGAAAGCTTGGCTGTGCCTTTCCTGCCTCTAACTCTATGTGTTGGACTCCTCGGGACTAACTCCTAAGTCCTCTTCCTTCCTCTCTCCCCAGATGATGTAATGCTTTGTAATCACTTAAATGTTCCCTAGATGCTAGGAAGTCCCAAATCTATACCCCAAGTCCTAGCAACCTTTTTAAGGTGCCCACTGTGCAGCCAACCTTCTCCTCAGTGTCCGCATGGGAACTCTCCACCATCCCTGCAGCGGCACGGCCACTCCAGCCCTACCCCAGCAGCCCCTGAGGCTCTCCCCTGTTCCCCCATTCCCAGGCACAGTAAGTGACACCACATCCACCCAATCCCTCTCCAGAAAACTAACATTCAAATCCAGGGGAGTCTCCTTCCGCAATTCTTCCAGGATCCAGTCTGACAGCACCACCACAACCCGAGCCTACCCCGACGACAGCCCCTGGTTGTTCCCCTTCCTTCCTCTTGAACCCCACTCCAAACTCACTTCTACACAATAGCTGGGGAGAGTGTCTAAAATTGTCAGGAGGCACAGAGCTACCCCCTGCTCGATGCTCTCTCCATGGGTCTCACTGCACTTGGCATAAATCACAGTCATCGCTGCACCTCAGGCATCAACCCTCAGTGTCAGCTCCTTCCACGTGACCCTGTCGTCTCAGTGCCCCAGTCACACGGACTTCCTTTCGGGTTTAGGGACTGTGCTTGTCCTCTGCTTGGACATTGTGTTCACGCCATCTCACTGCTTAGAAAGGTCTTCTTCCCCTGCAGCTCCGTCTGGCTCGAGCCTTCTCGTGTCTCTCTTGTCAGATTCAATTTCACTCCTGGACCGAGATGGACCTCACTGACCACTCCAAAATAGGACTTTGCTCATCTTCTTCATAATAGCACCTGTGTTCTGCTTCCACAGCATTTACACTAACCTGTGATATCTTTTTTTCGCTTATTTACCTTATCTACTTGTTTAATTTTTAAACTCTCTCTCTCAAAACCATGTGTAACTCTGTGGGCTCTGCCTGCCAGGTGGTCCAGAGCTCAGAAGCACTAAAACCATCAAAGAGCCCCATGAAAACGTTCCGGATGAACTCCAGTTACACAAATAATAAAAGCACCTCTGGAAAGAGACACACGTTATGTGTCCCCCTCTCTGGAAGGAGACGTTCACACGTGAGATGTCTGTTACCTTCAGTAACCGCAAGAGGACTGCTCGGCCAAGAGTGCTCCCACACAGTAGGCACTGCTATAAAAGCCTTACGTGTATTAGCTCATTCAATCCTGATGAGACACCTGTGAGGCTGATAACTGTCATTATCCCCGTCTTCTAGATAAGAGAACGAAGACACAGAGAAGGTGAGTAGCTTCCCTACGCTACACAGCTAGTAAGTACGAGCGCTCTCGGATCTGAGCCCAGCAGTCGGGCTCCAGAAGCCCCCGTCTCATCCTGTGTTAGTTAAGGGATGAGCTGGGTCCTGCCAGCGGACAGCAGGGCACTCTGTCCAGAACCAAGTGCAGTGCTGCGGGCGGGGGAGGGGAGACGAGGAGCCTCGCAGCACCCCCAGCTCTGCACAGTCTCCCCACAGTCTTCCCCAGAGGAGAAAGAGTCAGTGCCAGCAGGACATAAAGATTCCATCCGGGGGGACTTCAACAAACTGCAATTACTGATTCCTGAACTGGAAGGAAAACACTTGTGTCCCAATAATGACACTAGGTACCAGGACAAACGATCTTAGGCTTATAACATGCTTATATGAAAATACAACATGATAGTAACTAAGAGTTTTATCTTGGGAAAGACAATCACAATCTTTTTCAAATAGAAAATTCTTTGATTCCTATGTTTCCCTGGATAAAGGAATAATGATGAAATTACAGAACGGAAACTGTTCGGAGATGACTAAAAAGGAGCTCATGTAATGAACTAAGGATGAAAACAGACCTAGAGCAAACCTTTCTTACACGCATCATTTCTGTGAACCCACATGTTAAATATTTTTTGAGTTTAAGGACAGCATGACAGTTCACACGTCTGTATCACCATGTGTTTGCATGCGGAGCTCTGCAGAGCTGGAGAGCGCGGCGGTGCTTGGGCTAGACTCGTGAGGTTTCTACGGAGAAAGTCATCCGATGGAACAGACAGTAAGGAGAAGCTACGCAAAGGGAATCACGAGAGCAGATACAGAAGGTCCCAAGAGCCTGGCATGTTACAAACCCACAAGCAGCCCCCCACCCCTAGCCAGACAACAGAAATCCCCCAGTAAGCACCCGCTGCAGAAATGGGACACACGGTACAGAGATGTCGGTGCAGGCACTGCTAGCCAGTCCGAGAGGAGGCCACATATGCCCACGCTAGGAACGCGGCACTTTGTTGCGCTCAGAGGTAGATCTGTGAGGCAGGAAGGCAACTCAGAAGGGTGTGCAGGCGAATGAGACACACAGCTGCCAGCGGTAACCCGAGCATGACAGGATACACTATGCACACATTTGAGTATGTATGTGTTTGCATATGCATCCATATTTTAAGGATGGCATGTCCCAAAAGTCAACAGAAAATTCAAAATAGCCAATGACATATGAAGAAGGAAACCAAGCTGAAAACTGGTGAGGAGCGGAAGGCTGACAAGGAGAGCACTACCATACCCCCAGATGACACTTACCTGCTACGACAAAGTTAAGATGTGTGTGAATCTGGTTATTAATGTAAAGGGAACAAAGGCCGGGCAAAGCACAGAGGAGGGAAGGGGAGTAACCTCACGGCGAAGGGCACAGCGACCGGGTCCTCGGCAAGGCTGCGCACACAGAGCTTCCTGGCAGGCACTGCGGGGAGCGTGGCGTGGGATGCCAGCGGAAGCCCTGCTTCCCCAGGCGAACCTCCGCTCCCGCTGACCGTGCCAGGCTTTACCAGCGTGATAAGCTCAGTCAAGGCGGTGCTTCCAGTCGGCTGGGATCGGTGCTCACTGAGACACCCGACACTCACCGAGTGTTGAGATTGTTCTCATAACTCAAAATTGCAATACTGTACGGTTCAAGGACTTTGAATTTTCAGAAGGTTTTTAACCTTTTTCATAGGTTCTGAAATTACCTTCACTGGACTTCCCTTCTTTTACAAGGCTAGATCTGATATACAGGCATTTTTACAGTATTACTAAATGGATCAACTGCATAGTTCTATTTTTTAAACCCAGAGAATAAAATCCCTCCTCACCAAGAATAGGAATCACAATACTCTAATGGCTTTGCCCGGTGAGCAAGCAACTAGTCTATAACCAACAACGTGATTACTCCGCAATACCAAAGCCATGCCAGTCTCCCGCTGACCAGAGCACTTCCTCAGTACCTTGAGTCCTTTGAAAAATGCCACTTCTAAGAGCAGTGGTTGACTTAACAGAAAGAGGAGAGAGAAGGCACGCAGCGAACACAGGAACGTCCAGCAGGTGCCGATGGGCCAGCACATCACTGGGCAACGACACTGACAGTGGTCACAACCTGTTTCTTGGGCTCATCTGTCCACTACTCTGTCCTCTCCTTCCAGGAAACCAGTACACAGTAAGGGCAGATCAATACAAAGTTTAACAAACAAGAACAATTTGGGGATAAAACTAGGGAAAAAAAGGGAGGAAAAAAGCAAACAATTGGACTAATATCCAGTACTAACCTGGTTGAGTTTCTTCCAGAGATTGAGGACAGGGGACAGCTCGTTCGACCAGACTTCTCTATCAAATTTGCAACCAGCTGTTGCTGATCTGCCCAAGATCCTCAGCTGAGAAATGACCTGAATGAAGAAAATAAGAAGTAGCAAAAAATGAACAGAGAGAAATAGTAAGGATCCAAAAATAGCTATACTGACTTAATAAAAGTAAAGACCAAATATACACGTTCAATCCCATTATCTTCCATTGGCTTAGCATTTAACTGATTTACTTAAGCAGTTAAAAAATAAGGGAACTTAGAAGTGAAAGAAACCACTCTAAAAATTACACGTTACAATGCCTCTTATTTGAAAAGTGACTTCTTTAGTCAGAAAACTCCAATTACCTATTATTAACAATTTCTTAGTGTCTCTGTTTCCTTGTGTCTGAAACACAAAATATTTTTCGGTTTGACTGACTTGAACTTTGTAATTTCCAAATGCTGAATAACAACTGAAGACAGTTTTTCCGTAAAGAGGAAATGGCAGGAAAGACAGTACACAGCACACCAAACCACGTAAAATAGTAGAGCAGGTCTAAGTAATTATTTGTTGTCATAAACGTCACAAATCTAAGTCTTAAGGCTCTGTATTTTTAGTTGTCCTGTAAATGCTCCCTCTACGCTTCGATGCCCGTGAACAGGTGTGGTTAGACTGGGGGGACCAGGGAAGGTGCACACGGACTCCCCCCTCCGCAGAGCGTCCTGTCTGTGACTTCCTCGTGACCAGCTTCCTCATCACCCAGCTCACCCAAGCCCGTTCCCTCGCTTCTGTCCTCTAAGCGGTCCTTACTGACTTCCACGTCAGGAAGTCCCCTGTCAGTCACCTGCCAAGAGGGAGGCAGCAAGAACAGGGCGCACCCAGCACTGGACTGCAGAGACTGGGGGTGCGCATCTCAGCCCATGAGAGACCCACTGACTCACCTTCACAAATGTTTCAACGAAATGTGAAATCTCCTCGCTTACCTGACATAAAATAAACCCACAACAGGCATGTGCTTTCCTAAGCCAGTCTTTTAAACACCAACTTTTGCAGTAAGTTGACTCAATTTCTGTTTTTTTTTTTTTTTTTTTTTTTGAAAGATGTGAATTGTTTTTCCATTTTTAACAGATTGGGCTATATTTCATATTTTGCAGGATCCTTACATTAGTCAAGTTTGTAACAAAATAAGGGCTATAAATCTTTCAAAATGAACGCACTACTCGATTGTTAAACATCCACAATCATGCTGTAAAACTCAAGTTACTTCTAGAGCTTTTGATTGATTCTCCAATCTTGAAAAACTCCTAGTGATTCAGTGTTTCATTTTCTTTGTTTTTCTGATAAATTACTTTCATTTGCTCTAGCTGAACCTTACAACAGCACCTAATTCATCAGCTTTGCTACACCACAAAACGTCACTAGTTGGTAGTCCGAAGGAGTGCTATTCTAACTCTGGTAACATCTGCTGTCACTTATTTGTGTTTTAAATTTATCAAACATGACAGAAAACAAATAAGAATGCAAAGGGATGTCTAAAGGAAAAAAGGTTCAAAAAATTTTTTACATGATGTAAAAACCTATTTTAAGAATAAAATATTTACCAGTCCCAAAAGGTCATGTTTTCTGTCCAGCAAAAATAATATGCGAGGTGTACTTTTCTTAATAACCCTATCATAGTATAATCTTTAATAAAAGAGAAGTTCAAATATCTAATAAATTTATTTTTACAATGAGGATAGAGCTATAACTTGAAATGACAGACCATCTTTCATTCTTATAAAATCTTACATGTGCATCTTTTTACAAAAGGTATCTTTCCATTATCTATATTTTAAACAATTGAAAATTACTTTATTCAATAGTACTCCTTTCAAATGGTATCAAAAGGGATGAGACTTTCCATGAAGAGCCCATTTGCATCACTTCTCCCTGTCCGTCCGTACTGAACAGCATGCGTGAGGCCGCCGCGTGCCGTGCAGTGTCCACAGAAGCTACAGAGGGGGTGCGAGCACCCCCACTGCACCTGCCCTCCTTCCACGGACAGTGAAAGCCATCTGAGGAATGCCTGCGCTTCTCCTGAGCAGTGTGTTTAAGACACTAACTCTTACAGCAAACTGTATTCGCCTCTGGATATTGTGAAGCACACAGAAGAATTTCTGACCTAACAATATTGACTTCATAGAACTTTATTTTTAAAGATTTTACTTAGTTGAGAGAGAGAACGAGAAGGGGGAGCAGCAGAGGGAGCCCAACATGGGACTCGATCCCAGGACCCTGAGATCACAACCTAAGCCAAAGGCAGACTTTAACCCACTGAGCCACCCAGGCGCCCAGACATTATAGAACTTTAGAGCATGGACTTCGTTGTCTGTTTTGTCTTCTTTTGGCATAAAATATTTCCCTAGTTTTCTTTTCCTTTCCTCCTTTTCTCTTTGGCTGATTTCCTCAACTCCTGATTTTACTCCAACAGATTACTTGTATTTTTCCAAGTTGCCTGTGGCGTACTCCTTTTTGGAATGAGAAGGAATATAGATTTTGAAAACAAACACTCCCAATCTACCAATGAGAAAATGGACTGTCAAAGAAATTAAATAAATGACACTGAGAGAATGAACAGCTCATGCTCTGGCCTTGGAACCCTGGAACAGCAAGTGAGCTTCTGGAAGATGAAAGACAAGGTCAGCGACAACCAAGTCACCCCAGCCAACAGCAAGCGTCATGCACAGACAGCAGTAAGGCCGTCTCGAACCCTCCAGCCCTGTCGACTCTCCTCATGAAGGGAGCTGCACGTGGGAAACCGAAGATGAAAACAAAGAGCAAGAACCCAGCCAACCCTCAGAATCGTAAGAAAAAAAGAAAAAAAAATGGTAAAATATTACTGTTTCAAGTCACAATGTTTTGGGCTTGTGTTCTGCGGAGCAAAGACTAATTAAATCACTGAGAAGAAGAGACCAATTCCTTACTGCCTGCTGTGGACTGACGGTCTGCACTCTCCGAAGCACACAGTGGAAGCTCTGGCCCCAGCACGCCGGTGATGATGGAAGGAAGGAGACACACGGGAGAGCTCTGCGCGCTCTCGGTGTGTCTCTCTGCACGTGGGCACAGAGGAGAAGCCACATGAGCCCACGGTGAGGGGACAGCCATCCACAAAGCAGGAGGGTGAGTCTGCACCGAAAACGGAGCATATTGACTCCCAGGCTCCAGTACCGTGAAGAAATACACTGCGTTGTCGGAGCCTCCCGGCGTGTGGTACGGACGCCCCCACTCACGACAGCCCTTCCTCACGCATCTCAGCTCCGCGAGGCTGTGCTGGCGGTGCATGCTCCAGACAAACGGCACGCCAGACTCCGACCTTGCCCTGCTACTCCCTCAGGATGGGAGCGGCAGGGGTGAGCGCCCCATTAGCCAGCCATCACGGGGGTGAACCACCCACGGGCTCCAACTGCCCACGGGCTCACTACATTCTGTGGTTCACTTTCAGCACAGCGGTCAATAATCACATGACACATTCCTCACTTTCATGAACGAGGCCTCGCATCCCATGATTTTGCCCAACTGTAGATGGACACGAGTCTTGTGAGCACGTTTAAGGTCAGCGAGGTAAGCTGCGATGTTTACTAGATTACGTGTATGAAATGTGTTTCCACTTACGATATTTTCAACTTATGATGGGTTGATCGAGCTAAAACCCCACTGTAAGTCGGGAAGAATCTGTGTTTTGTTACAGTAGCCCAAGCAGACAAGTGCAACCTTATAAATGGCACCTAAAAAATGCAGCTAATGTTAGAAGCCTTTAAAATCAAATGTTAGAAGCCTTTAAAAATCCCTTTAAAACCAGAGCAAGATAAGAATGTTGACTGTTGGGGCACCTGGGTGGCTCAGCGGGTTAAGCCTCTGCCTTCAGCTCAGGTCATGATCCCAGCGTCCTGGGATCGAGCCCCGCATCGGGCTCTCTGCTCAGCGGGGAGCCTGCTTCCCCCTCTCTCTCTCTCCCTGCCTCTCTGCCTACCTGTGATCTCTGTCTGTCAAATAAATAAATAAAATCTTAAAAAAAAATAAAAAGAATGTTGACTGTCACTATGTTTATTCAACTTTGCACCCAAGTATCGATCTATCCCAAGAAAACAAGAAAAGGCAGTTAAGTGAATAAAGACTGGAAAGGGAAAAAGAAAAAAAAAAAAAGCTAAACCATCACTTTCTCAGACGTTATAACAATTTACCAAAACATGAAGAAACTAACAAAATTTTTAAATATATTATATTCATGCTATACATTTTTCTGTTTGTGTATATTTGAAATAAAAAGAGAGGCGCCTGGGGGGCTCAGTCAGTTAAGCATCTGACTCTTGATTTCGGCTCCGGTCATGGGATCCAGTCCCCTGTCGGGCTCAGTACTGGGAGGCTGCTTGGGATTCTCTCTCTCTCTCCCCACCCCTCCCACCTCTCCACCCTCAGCGCTCTCTCTCAAATAAAATCCTAATAATGAAAAAAAAATCTTTAAAAAATTCATTAGATTATTACTTTTTAACTTCAGCTTAGGAATTATGTCCTTTTTCAGCAGTTACTTGGAAGCCCTTAAAACATCCGTCAACACTCTCATCCCTACCTGGGCCGGGCACTGTGCATGGAGCTGTGTCCCCTCAAGCAACCAGTGTAACAAACCCTGTTCATCTTCCCACATATTGCAGGAAGGAAGCAACACGCTAACACAGTAGAGGAGGACCCAGAAAAACATCTAGTTTATCTTTATGTTAACAAAGGTTCCCGTATCTCTCATGTCTTCCTATAAGAGTATTACATCACTCACACACAAGGCCATCTGAGAGGTCACTCGGGGTCAAAGGTGAAATGCACAGTCCACTCCCATGTGAGGGACGCATGTCATCATTTTTCCAAGTCACATATTAAAAGGCTGAAATAAAATCTCAGGAGATCTCTAGCTTATGCAACTTAATTAAACAAATTAAGACTGAACTTCCATCACAGGAGTTTTAAATTTACCAGGACCAGCAAACAGGTCAGCTTTAAGTATGGAGGTGACTCTCATGATAATTACGTTGACTGACAAGCCAGATAGAGGGTAGTACTTAGTCGTACAGTCC